GCGGACCTTGTAGGAAAACTAGAGATCGAATCCAAAAGCACCCCAAAGATGATCGAAAGTAGTCGAAAGATCGTCCCCAGATACTTTTTCCCCATATCCTAAGGATTGGGGTTCTTGTTATTACTCTGACGCCTCCCACTCCTCCTCCTCCTTCTTCCTCCCGCTCGCGCCTCCCTCCTCCCAATGATAATCACCAGATAAGACAAGACAAGATAAGATACTACAAGATAAGATAAGATAGCACAAGATATGATAAGGTAATATAAGATATATGACAAGGTAGGATAATAGATAAGATAAGACAGCCTATGGAGTAATAAGATAAGACAAGATATGATGCGATAAGATGAGTTGATATAAGATAAGCTAAGACAAGATAAGAGATTTCAAGATAAGATAAGATAGAGGGTAATAAAGGTAAGATAAGATAGGACTCGATAAGATAAGATGAGACTCACTCTCACTCAGACTCACTCACAGTCACATTCACTCACACTCACACTCTCTCATGATCACAAAACGCTGCCAGGGGCATCATTTGGGAGCCCCAAGGGGGAGCCACCCTGGCTGATCTCACGAGCCCGTTCGCGCCGATTTTGGTGGGACGTCTCAGCTAAAATTGCCGTTTGGCCTCCCCAACATGTCTCTCTTGAGAGCCTCATGGTCACAAAACGCTGCCAGGGGCATCACTTGGGAGCCCCAAGGGGGAGCCACCCTGGCTGATCTCACGAGCCCGTTCGCGCCGATTTTGGTGGGACGTCTCAGCTAGAATTGCCGTTTGGCCTCCCCAACATGTATCTCTTGAGAGCCTCATGGTCACAAAACGCTGCCAGGGGCATCATTTGGGAGCCCCAGGGGGGGTCCACCAGGGGCTTCATAGTCACCAAACGCTGCCAGGGGCAGCATTTTGGCTTCCCAAAGAGGAGTCGACCCGGGCCTCCTAGTCGCCAGACACTGCCAGGGGCACCATTGGGATTCAGACTCGCACCCAGACTCACTCATACACAAGCTCACTCACACTCAGATTCATTTCTTCAGAGTCAGGCACACACAGACGTACCCATACTCAGACTCACCCACACTCAGGCTCACCTAACCCAGACTCCGTCAGAAGCCAGTAGCGAAGAGAGCAGAGAGGAGAGAGAGAGAGAGAGAGAGAGAGAGAGCGGGAGAGAGCGAGAGAGAGAGAGAGAGAGAGCGCGAGCGCGAGCGCGAGCGAGAGAGAGAGAGAGAGAGAGAGCGAGCGAGCGAGCGAGCGAGCGAGAGAGAGAGAGAGAGCGAGGAAGAGAGAGAGAGAGAGAGGAAGATAGAGAGAGAGAGAGAAGGAGAGAGAGAGAGAGAGAGAGAGAGAGCAAGAGAGAGAGAGAGAGGAAGCGAGAGAGAGGGAGAGGAGAGAGAGAGAGAGAGAGCGGAGAGAGAGAGAGAGGGGGAGTTGAGAGAGGAGACAGGCGAGAGAAAGAGAGAAGAGAGAGAGAGAGAGAAGAGAGAGAGAGAGAAGAGAGAAGAGAGAGAGAGAGAGAGAGAGATAGAGATAGAAGAGAGAGAGAGAGAGAGAGAGAGAGAGAGAGAGAGAGAGAGAGAGATAGAGAGAGAGAGAAGAGAGAGAGAGAGAGAGAGAGAGAGAAGAGAAGCGAAGAGAAGAGAAGAGAGAGATAGAGAGAGAGAGAGAGAGCGAGAGACGAGAGAGAGAGAGCAGAGAGAGAGAGAGAGCGGGAGAGAGCGAGGGAGAGCGAGAGAGAGCGAGAGAGAGCGAGTGAGAGCGAGAGAGAGAGAGAGAGAGAGCGAGAGAGAGCGACAGAGAGCGAGAGAGAGCAAGAGAGAGCGAGAGAGCGAAAGAGAGAGAGAGAGAGAGAAGAGAGAGAGAGAGAGAGAGAGATAGAGAGAGAAGAGAGAGAGAAAGAGATAGAGAGAGAGAAGAGAAGAGAAGAGAAGAGAGAGAGCGAGAGAGAGAGAGAGAGGGAGAGTGAGAGAGAGAGGAGAGAGCAGAGAGAGAATAGAGAGAAGAGAGAGAGGAGAGAGAGAGAGAGAGAGAGGCAGAGATAGAGGCAGAGAGAGAGAGGCACAGAGAGAGAGGCAGAGAGAGAGAGAGGCAGAGAGACAGAGGCAGAGAGAGAGGCAGAGAGAGAGAGAGGCAGGGAAAGAGAGGCAGAGACAGAGAGAGGGCAGAGAGAGAGAGAGAGACAGAGAGAGCAGAGAGAGCAGAGAGAGAGGCAGCTCAGTCACACTTAAATCCAGATTCGTCCTCACCGAGTCCCACCACCAAGGGAGCGCCAGCAAGGAGATGCACATATGGGGATCCCCACGCAGTGAATAATTAGGAATTTGATTGAAGATTCCTGCTGTAGAGGGACACGCCCGACTTGACTCCAGGGCCGGTGATTGGGCCCCTTGGCAACCCAAAATGGAACGGGGACGGAAAAGCTGCCACAGATTTCGTAAGAACAGGGAGGGGGTCTGGACCCTCCAAGACAAGCCATTTTAGGCCCCCCCCCGTGGGAGAACCCTCCAAAACGTCGTCCCCAGACCCCCCCAGGCCCTCCAAGATAGCCTGGAAGAGACCCCCCCGAAATGAGACCCCCCTCCCTTTATTACGAAATCTGGAGTACAGTGGAGTCTCATGCCAAGAAACACCCTGCTTGCCTCCAGGGTTCTCTGGGCTTCTGGGGTTTCGATGGCTTCGCTGTGGAGGGCGAGACGCTCCCACACCGAGAATCAATGGACGTCCTTGGGTCTCAGGGTTTGGGTTTCTTGGGGAAGGTTTCTGTTGGACTGGCCTCCATTGGTGTGCCCCATCCACTGGGGATGGGCGCCACGAAGCCCGAAGGAGACGGCGCCCCTCCCTTTATTTACGAAACCTGGAGTGCCCCCGGGGGAAGCGGTCGGGGCCTCCGCCGGCCGCGGACTGCAAAAGGCTCCGGTCGGCGGACGTCGGGGCCCTCTCGCGCAGCGAGGGCATCCGCTGCGGAGGGCCTCGGTGCCCTTGTCGGCCTCCGGGGGGGGCCCTCTTGCGGGCCCCCCGGGGGGCCGCCAGGACCCGGCTCGGAGTGAAGAGCGGGTCTCGGGGGAAGGGGTCCGGACCTCTGGTGGCTACCTACCAGACCACCCCAACCCAACCCGAAGACCCCCAATTTCGGGTGGGGGGGGGGGTACGGGTTCCATGCGTGTTTTTTCCGTGTTCCCCGACCCCCCCCCAACTGGAAATGGAGGCTAAATTGAGGCCTTCGGGTTGGGTTGGGGGGGTTTGGTGGGTGGTGATCTGGGGAGCCACGCCGCGAAAGGAGCACGACGTCGGGAGGCACACGGAGGCCGAAGGCATGGCGGCAGTGGCAACTGTGAGGGTCGACGCTGGACCGCCCCTCCCCTGGTGCGCTCCGCGCGCAAGGGGCGGCACCGCAGGCGCCGCCAGGGGACGGGCGCCCAGTGCCGATCCAGGAAATACGCGCGGACCTCCCAAAGTTCATGCGCATGCCGTGCTTTGTTTTTCCAGACTGGTGTAAGGGGGCAGCGTCAGGCGGGGACTGGCTGAGGGAGAGAAGGTATCGAGCTCGAATCGGCGATGCCTCGCCGTTAGGATGCAGGCCCCCGATGGCGAAGCCCCACGCTCCTGTGCAGAGTGCGAATTACACGGCCCCTATCGGCGATCAATCGGCGATTGGGACTCGATGCATCCCCCCTGAGCCTGTCCATTCGTGGCCTTCAGGTCATAACTCAGGCCTCTGGCGGCCGTTCGGGACGGTCTGGGCACCGCCGCACCGCCGAAACGCTCTGGGCGAAGCGCGGCTGCTTTTTTCAGCTCCACGCCCAGCTCCTCCAGAAGCGCGACTGCTGGAGAGCATAGCGAGGCTGGAAAACAGCTGGCAACGCAGGATAGCTCGATGATCCTCAGAACGTGTGTGTCAGCGCCAACGTGTGTGTTGTCCACCGAGGGCCCTTCAACACGACGCCAGTGGCGCAACGAGGGCCGACACAGGCTGCGCACGATCGGCGGAACCGAGCGGGGCGAACACGCACTCGGGCTGACGCACGTCCTGTGGACCATCCAAGAGCGCACGAACACTTCGGAACTCGAACCTCGAACCCCGCTGCTCCAGCCAGCCTCCCCTGACTGAAGGGGCCCTAGGACAAACAAATAAATACACACAAATAAAAGGATTCCCCATATTTTCCCATCTTTTCTGGGGAATCGACGATGAATTGTGTCTGTGTGTTTTTTCCCCTCCCGACTGACGCTGCCCCCGATGGTGGTCGTGCACGGTGACCCCGTGCCCCGCCAGCCAGGCCCGGAAGGCGCCGTCGGAGCGGCCGTGGTAGAGCACGTGCAGGGCCGAGGCCGGCATGTGGCGCAGGGCGGAGAGCACCGAGGCCTGCAGCATTTGCAGGGAGCCCCCGAGGCAGCGGCCACCGGGGACAGACTGGCAGAGGTCCCCGCGGACTTCGTGGGTCGGCGCCGGCCCCCTCTGGCCGGCACAATGTACATATATATATATATATACACACATGTATATATGTATGTATGTATGTATGTGTGTGTTATATGTGTGTAGATATATAAATATATAGTATATATATAGAAATACAGCTATAGATATAAATAGATATAGATTGATATCTATCTATATATATATATGTGTACATATATACATATATCAGTAGCCACTGCGTCTCGGACTGCCCGACTCCAGTCCCCGAGACGCACGTGGATGCGGATACCAACCGGGCCTCTCGCGAGGCCAGATGCTGGTACATGTCCACTTCATCATCGGGCTTCTGGCACCCCTTCCCCACACAATCCAAGACGCCGTGGATGTGGACACAAGACCTGCTCCCGCCTGGGTGGGCGCTGGCCCCCCCCTCCCCGTGCCGCCCCAGGGCGACACCTCCAGCCCCCCCACCCCCCCCCCGGCACGCTCTGGGCGCCGCGGGGAGAGGTGTGGGGAGGGGTTGAATAGAGCTCGGGGATCAGATCTGCAGAACACCCGAAAAGGACCCAAACATGATGG